GTTTTTTTTTTTTTTTCGAATTGCTAAATTGTGCCTTTTCTTTTGTAGTCTTATGTGTTTGGTTTGTTTTCAAGGAAAAAACAGTGCTACTGTGTTTGGCCTAGCTGAACATTGCTCTGCAGTCAGCATTTTCCAGTCAGAGATGCTTTCAACTATTGCTTTTGGTTACAAAGTGTTGTAAAGCTTGGGATGAGTGTGTAATAAAGTAAATAGATTAACAAGTTTGATCTTCTACCATTATGTTTAGATCAATGTTTTTATCATTGTCTATGGTACTCATTCGCTAGAATGTTGCTAAAGGTAGTTTTTTTTATAAATAAAAGGGGTAAACAATATAAATGCCCTTCTAATTATTGTATCTGTTATAAATTGGCTAATGAAAATTCAGTTGTATATTAATTATGATTTTTTAAGAAAAAATAAAATTTTTATTTTTATTTTTTTTTCATAAATGATATAATANATGTTTGTACGAGATGGCCTGTGTTAATAATCTACTGTCAAATATTTACCATGTTACCGTTATTTACTTTTACACGAATGGTGCACCTGTTAGCGGATATCTATGTTCATTTTTTTTTTCAGTGTTCATTCGGTATATAAGATTGAAATTCATGCCTCTTGGATAATTAAGATATGACATTAAATGCATTACTCTCAGACTTCACAAGAAAAATCTTCTTAATGGAGTGCTATGCCTCAAATTAATGACCCTTGCCTACTTAACTGTATGGAAGTTATTGTTTTATGCTGTTTTTGTAGAGGTCATAAGAAAGTTTGTTTGTTATTTTACATACTGCACTTTCTTGTTGGCGTATGGAAGAGGCTCACTGCACGGCCAAGTGTTTCGTTTGCAAGTATTTGTCTCTCCCTTGCCACGNTATTAACGGATATATTAATAGGCATTTGATGACTGGGGTATAAGTCTTGCATATAAATTTTAGAGAGTTTATGTGTAATATTTTAAATATTAGAGTTTAAATGATTGAGTGACAAATTTTAAGAGGTCTGAATATAATTATCTCTAAAATATAAATTAACAATTAATTATGCAATATTTAAGAAAGAATAATCAAGTAATACGTGAAAAAGCAATTAAATAGTGTACTTAATAACAAAAAGTTTATGTATTATTAAACTTAACAAAGTAAAAAAATTACCTGCGTAGGTTCTTCCGATTAAGGCTTTAAAAATATATCCACCCCTAATGGTTTTTAAAAATATTGGCAGGGATCTGATTCTAAAATTGCTGTCAAATATGAGCAATTTCAACCACGCTCAATAAAATAGTTACTCAAAATATATTTAAATATTATATTCATTACTTTAGCTATCAACTTTTTTAAATTCATTCCAATTACGCTATCTATTTTAACTGACTACTTCAATTAACTTTAACTAATTTTACATAATATAATTAAAAAATTCAACTTAAAACATGTATAGTTATCAACCCAATCAAAATTATACCATAATAATAATTATAATTAAACTTTAAATAATACAATTTAATGGCAATTTAACACTCATTTATTTTGAATAACAAAATAAATATTTTTTAAGGGTCTAAATATAAATATTTTATTATACATAAAACTAAGAGAATTTTTAAAATTTGGGGGAGTTTTAGAATTTGTTGAGAGAAAGTCTTGCTGCTCAGAAGTGATGGGTGAGAACGGAGAGGCAAAATAGCCGGTGGAACAGAGAGCCTGTTGTTGATAAATTTTTTGAATTGACTCGCAAAATAATTAAAAGATGACGTTTGTTGAGTCGGTTGGAGATGCTCTTAGCATCTACCCAGTGACGTATTGGACTCCGGCCAAGAGCCGGACCGGTTTTATAGCACAACACTCGGGCCAACAGCGATCAGATCGGAGTGAGAAACAGGAGCTTCCCGCTCTTTTCGCCGTGTCTGCACTGCTCTTTCTGGTACTTCAACTACGATGATTAGCGATCTAGGGTTCTAAGGTCTGCAAAATTTCTTCCATTTTCTTTTCTTTTCCCCCAAATAATGGGTGTAGTCATGGAGACCGAGACATGGGAACCAAGTCAGGCGATATATTTATTCATGTTTGTGTCATGTTTCCTGTCGATTTTTTGCCTACCTCACTTGTCGGCAAACTCGAACAGGACTGCCACCATCTTCGACCATGCACTTCCACGTTCTTTTCTTCGATTTCAGAGAGGCTTTCTTCTACTCTATTCTCTCTCTTCAGGTCAGTTAACTGACGGAGCCTAGATCTTGAGCACATAATTCACAATTATCGCATCATCTGCTCATCATTTTGAATATTTATCTGATTCTCTCTCTCTCCATAATACAGTGATGGAGGGGCTGTGGTCAGTGTATGGAGAGTATGAGTGGACATATTATGGTGTGAGTAGGGAGCAGATGGTGTTGTCTCTATGTGTTGGATGTGCGGTTTCTCTCTTCATTGGTACATTCTTAGGCATACTCTCTGTTATAATGTAAGTATACTTTGGTTCATTTTTGTTCATGTTGGCATGTTTTGTAAACACGTTTATGTATTTTTCTATAATGTTATACATATAAGGAATATTTAAATTCTACTGCACACCCACATTTGGAACATACATTGAGCGCATTTGCATCATTTGCACAATAGAGTGTGTGTAGAATTACTCAATAGTGAGAAATTATTTCGAAATAATATGAGTTATATCTTGGAAAGTATTTGTATCGGGATTTTGTGCTCATTTCTGAATAACAGAGAATTTGATGTTTTCACGCAAAACATCAGTGCTATGATGGGAAGCTTAGAATATTATGAAATTATATCTCAGTGATCATCGAAAGCATGGTAAGTTGTTGACAAAAAAATTGCTAATATTTTTTGACTTCACAATGTTTGTACGAGATGGCCTGTGTTAATAATCTACTGTCAAATATTTACCATGTTACTGTTATTTACTTTTACACGAATGGTGCACCTGTTAGCGGATATCTATGTTCATTTTTTTTTTCAGTGTTCATTCGGTATATAAGATTGAAATTCATGCCTCTTGGATAATTAAGATATGACATTAAATGCATTACTCTCAGACTTCACAAGAAAAATCTTCTTAATGGAGTGCTATGCCTCAAATTAATGACCCTTGCCTACTTAACTGTATGGAAGTTATTGTTTTATGCTGTTTTTGTAGAGGTCATAAGAAAGTTTGTTTGTTATTTTACATACTGTACTTTCTTGTTGGCGTATGGAAGAGGCTCACTGCACGGCCAAGTGTTTCGTTTGCAAGTATTTGTCTCTCCCTTGCCACTTCCATGTATTCATTCAGCTTTGAATCATGGATGGTAGTTGAGCACGATAAGGTATGGGCCAAAAACTCTTTTAGTTTTCTAATTATATGTAGGCAGAGTGCTTGGCATAAGAACCTCCAATTCAATATTGTAAAAGTGCCCAAATGCAATATTCTTTTTCTGGGTACCTCTTGTCTTCACCATTCAGTTCCGTGCGGGGTCTTTTCCATATCATAGTGGCACAAATAGTGTAATAGGTGCAGACAGCTAAATAATGATTGTCCTTATGGTTATGCAGCTGGGGTACAGGCAGGATACATTGAATGACGTGTTTTGGCTAATGACCTTCTCGGAGTCTGCATCTTTCATCGGAAGCCAAGTGCTCGGAAATTGGCTGGTTGGGAGGCATGTTGTTTTTCCTTCCTCTGCAGCTCTGTTTCTGGCAATAATCAGTGTTATTTATATCACTCAAGCTTGGAAAGAAGCTCCACGGACAGCAGAATGGAAGGATTATAAGACATCTTTCTACGTGCATATCTTTGGTGGTACAAGTTGCATACCCCTTTGTTTCTCTTACTTTACAGTAAGATAATTCCTAAAATATTAGATAAGCAATTGGGGTAGGGCTGTAGTGATACAAAGCAACAACATGGAACGTAAACCTTTTTTTGGAGTAAAAAATTATAGAGTAAATGACACTTTGGACCCTATAAGATCTTTTAAACTCTAGTTTACACCTTGAAATATCAAATTTTCACATTGCACCATCAATCATATAAAAAGGTAGCAATAAGTGTAAGTGGTCCAAAACTAAACATTCGTTGTACTGTCCACAATTTTTGTTTCTATATTTTCTTTATCTTTTCTTATTTTTGCACACAATCATTTGTAATTACTCGATTCTACATGAATATTTTGTACTCAATTTTATTAAAACAAATCACATTGCTACATTTTTCTTTGATTGAGGTTGCAATAAGAGAGTTTTAATCTTTCAGTCTGTAAATTGAGAATTCAAAGATATTTAGGGGTGCAAATTGTCATTCGCTCAAAAATTAAATGAAAAGCTTGTCATGCTAGAATATAATTGGAAAGATTAACAAGGATTTTGGGATGATTGTATTGCCCTACTAAAGATCTAGATTCTCCAAGGACGTGTAATAAAGGTGTTCAATATCTTCTATAATATGTGTGTGTGTGTGTGCACGAGACCTTCCGTAATTGATGTATGTATCCTAAGTTACGGGTGCCCTTTTTATTTATCCGTTCACTTCTTTAAATATTAAAATAGAAGCAATGTCCACTATGTTTCTATGAGGAAAAATGAAAAACCATTTCTCATGATTCATTATAACTTTTTTTGATGAGAAACAGGGAAAACTTATTAATTTTAGAATGATAGAAATGATACATCCAAAAATAATATAGATGGAGAAGATATCCATTAATGAAAGGAAAAAAAGACAAATCTCAGCTCACAAAAATTATGTATTACATTAGGCCCTCAAATCGGCCAAGCTACAGAAAAACGAAATGCCATGTAACTCCTTCGAAAAAGAAGCCCATAGTGATGACAAATTAATGTGATCCCGTAACCTTCCTTCCATTATCCTTTAGCCTCAAATATCCTTGAATTTCTTTCTAACCATATTTACCCATACTGGCCTTCATTGCACAATGCCATAGAGTCGCTCCTTTCTTTTGTTTTCCTAACTCGAATTTTTCCACTAACATAGTGGAAGGCATCCTAGGAATCAACCCAACTTGAACTTGGGTAATTGAAACAATTTGGACCACAAAAATAAAATAGTAGGACAATGTAAAAATAAATGATCAATAGTCTCACTAGCGCATGCACACATGATACACCACTATAGAGAAAGGCAAAGAAACGATCTTCTTCTCTGAAGCATATCATTACTCTTTATCCTATCATGAACTATAGTCCATGCACAAAGTTGCACCTTTTGAATCATCACAGAGGGAGAAAATACACTGCAATAGATCATCAATTAGTTTATCAAAGAATAATTTACATGAAAAGACCCTCAAAGACTCAAGAATTTACTTTCTTTTATCGCTTAAATCATGAATTTGAACTGATTGATCAAGGATAAGAGTGATAACAATTGTGTAAAATCTCTATCATCAAGATTTCTGTGAAAATCAAAGTTCCAAGAAATTGATTGATTAGAATACCAATACGACANACCCTCAAAGACTCAAGAATTTACTTTCTTTTATCGCTTAAATCATGAATTTGAACTCATTGATCAAGGATAAGAGTGATAACAATTGTGTAAAATCTCTATCATTAAGATTTCTGTGAAAATCAAAGTTCCAAGAAATTGATTGATTAGAATACCAATACGACGAGGCAATAGAAGACCCATGAAACCAAGATAAATGATGAAGACGTGGGAACATACATCAAAAATAAGATATCCCAACCCAAACATCCTCTTAAAAACAAACTCTCTCCCTATTACCTACCGTGAATATAATATATTGAGAGAACCTCGAAAGCCTTGAGAAATAAACTTGAATTCATGTTGTATTTTGATGGAGTTTAAAACGAACATTCTTTTTGCAGTTGAGAATAGTTGCTCTGACTTATGGAAGTAGTAGAACATATTGAATGTCTAGCACTGTACTTGAGTTTTAAGAAACTATTTTGGTATATTTCATTACGTTGTTTATTGGAGTTAGTGTCTTTGCACCATTTTGATGACCTAAATTATTGTTTAAACTAAATACACATATACAGTTTTATAGATTAGTGTTGCTTAAATAAATTTGCAAAATATTGGTTGCACATTACAGGACATTTGAGAATTGTGAATTTCACTTTGTTTGATAAAAAAAATATACCTTGGAAATATATGAGGCTATTCATGTCATTTTGTATTGAGAAACTTTATTAGAATATTTTTGGATTAATTATGAACTGTTTATGTTTGCTAGATAAAAAGATATTGCTTTTGGCGTGGGCTCTAGCATGTGTCCAGTCTTCCGTTGCGATCTTATGGATTCTTTGGGCTCCGACTATAGTGGTAAGATCTGGAATGCCGTTTATATATGCCATGAATCAATCCTTTTATGAATTTATGTACCTATTGTGTTATTTTGTACCAGATTATATGGAAGTTGTTTTAAACTTTGAATACAAAGCATTTCGGGCACCATATCTACGTTTTTCTAGAACATATGGTCGATGCTTCAAGTCCTTATTATGAAGATGGAAATCCCAATAGAAAGAAGTAAAAGTTAATTAAAAAGTTTGAAATATAGGATAACTATCAGAAACTTCCCTTACTGGATAATAATAGAATTAATAGTAAATTTTTAGGGTAAATTATAATTTATATTTGTGAAGTATATGCCTAATTCCTATTTGGTCCCTGAAGTTTCAATTATATAAATCAAATCCTTAAAGTTTTTTTCAATTTAGTCCTTATATCCAAATTCATTAATTTATTCTGATGAAATGGTCTCCCATGACCAACACGTGACTCTGTTAATGAGTTATATTTGTACGTTAAAAAATCCATCAAACATTGGCTAGAAAATTTTACTTTGTTTCATTTGATTATAGGACAAAAAAGATAGCAGACCCGAAAAAAAGATGCAAAGTGAGAATTTGAGAGATATTGTGAGACAAAGAGAGCTTTATCAATATATCTAAGACTATATTCTTTTGTTGGACAAATGTACATCTCTGACCAAGTCAGACATGTCTTTTTGTCATAACAAATTAAAAGATTTAAAAAGAAAGGACGGAGTTGAAACGCTATTAAAACTTTAAGGATTTAATTGTTGTAATTGGAAGTTTAAAGACCAAATAGAAACATGGTGCACACTTAAGGGGGTAAATTATAAATTGCACAAATTTTTATGATGCCCTCAGTTTCATGGAAATGACTATTTAATCCTTTGCCCAATAGGCATGATAAAATATTTAAGCTAAACATATTACTAAACATTACCCAAACCCAATTAGGCCAACCTTAAAGGTGTTGTTAAACAATAGTTATATCATTTTTTCTCACTCTAACTCTCTCTGTACAATGGAAGGGATTTATCGTCGATTGGAGGAGCCTGTTGTAGTAATGGTGATTGGTGGTGGCCATGGTTATCAGAATCTTGATTTGAATCGTATATTCGTATTATCTTATGCTTCAGTATTGGCAAGTCAATTCGAGTCTTTTAAAAAATTGTTGATTCATAGAATCTTAGTGGATCGCTCGATTCGGGTTGTGTAGGGTGGTAGGATCCCCTGATCCCAATTACAATGAAGAATTGTTGATTTATAATCCAAGTTGTTCGACGACTCTAGTTATTGTGTTGGCTCAATCTGAGATTTGAATTAATGTCTTTTCATTGATTCCTATAGAGCTTAGAAATATGATTGAAACTTGTGAAACTACAATTTGAGTATCAAAATGGATTGAAAATCATTTTGTATATACCCTAGGTTTGTTTTATTTATGTTTTTAGATTTCTATACTATTATGTATATTTTTTAGTCTAATTTTTCACAAATCTTATGATTTTCAATCCATTCCTTCAATCCTGATTCTCTAGCCTCCCTTACTTCTAAGATAATATCCTGGATTTAACAACCTTGAGGTATGTGGTGGTGGTGATAGTAATTGGGCAGTTTTGGTTGTGGGGGTAGTGTGGTTGTCCTTTTGGTGTTTTGGATGTGTAATGATGTAGTGGATGTCATTTCAGATTTCTTTGGCGGTGATGGTGTAGCGTCATAGTAGCAATGGCGATGGTGGTTCAGTTCTTTAACCTGAATTTGCTTCCTATATTTAAATCATTGCTCTTGTTTAACCAGTAATAGCACTTGAACTTTTTCTAAACAAGTGTTCAGCGGTTTTTTTTGAGATGAATAAGATCAAAACCCCTTTGTTTAGTTTAAATGTGTAATTAATTTGAAAGAGAAGAATCCACTTCCAAAGTACATCAAACTTTTATGAATGGAATTCTTGTTTGCCACATTTTCATTGAGGCAGTTAGTCGGCCAGTTTGGTTCCTTTCATTGACGATCAATTTTGGCACTTCTATTTTTTACCTACTCCTATCTATCATTTATATGTGAAAACATGCATCTTTTTAATTTAATATTTTTCTGAAAGAAGTGAAAATTTTGCACTTTTTGCTGTTCCAATACGTTTACACACTGTGACTCCGAGTTTATGTATGGTCTCCAGTTTTGTGTCAATCATCAAACTAGATTACAACTAGTCAATAAGTTTTAAATATATTTAACATATGTTGCTGTGTTCATAGGCTGATGGGCGAGAAATTGTTTTAGGGTTGATATATCCTTGTTTGCTGGGTGCTAGAATGCTAGGAAGTACTGCATTCCCGTTGTTCTTTAGTGGACCTTTATCACTCCGGACTGAGGATTGCCTAGTCTACGTGTTAATCACAATGGGCGTTGTTTTGTCCATAGTAGCTTATGATTATCAAGTATGTTTTAAACCATTGAGCATTTGGACCGAGTATTTACTTGTTTTATAATGGTTTAGAGCCTGACAGCTCAGTGTGACTTTACAATGAGCAACTTTATGTGCAGAAAATAGGAGTTCTTGTGACACTATTTTGCCTATTTCATGCTTGCATGGGCTTGGTTTTACCTTCACTTGCCAGATTGAGAACCATGTATGCTTTATTCTCTTTACTTTTCTTTTGAGCAGTGGCTCTTATTAAACTATATATGAATTCAATTGTTCGTTTCGTATGTAGGGACATGTTTCTAATCTTTCTTGGTTCCTGTCGTACGTTCAGGTATGTGCCAAATGAAATGCGGGGAGGAATGATAAGCCTTTCTGTAGCCCCTGCAAATGCAGCAATCCTGTTTTTCCTTGTGCAAGTAAGTGTGCTAAACCCGGATCACTTGAGTTTAGAAAGCATGAAATGAGGAACCAATCCAACAGTGCTTCACATAAGTGGACGTGGGCCTTCCTTTGATGGGCTAAGTAGGAACTTTTACTTTATTGGTGGTTTTTGCTTTGAAGATTTTTATGATATTCTCTTATTGTGAATTGGGAGGGGGCCAGTAGTGGTACCTCTTCAATGCAGTGCTTTTTACATTCAAGAAGTACCTTTACTGAAAACCAGAGTTAACACTAAGAAATGGGTTTGTGTAACTGGACTTTTGGAGGATCATTGAAAAAATACTTCAATGATACTGACAAATCAATTGTACAAGAGGCTTTGAGGAATATTTTTGTAGGATTTCCTAGTTTGACTTTTTTACAGGAGGGGTTTCAAATTGATCAATCATGAAGTCATTCTGTATCTTCTGGACAATAGCTACAAAGCCATGATTGATCACCCTCTATAACAACTATACATGCAAGTAATTTTTCTTTTAGCAATCCTGGGTGGGAAGCATGAAGTACTTAAGGTTATGCATATTGGTGATATTGCAGGGAGGCTATTATCGAAACATCGGAAATTCAACAATCATAGCAGTTGCTGCCCTTTGTCTATTCTCTGCAGCTGGGTGCATGCATCTGTTGAGGCAGTGGGGCAAGCAAATCCATCAGAATTGGCTCAAATTATGATCACATATCCCTCCACTGCTCAAAAATTATTTGCCCGCAGCAGGTGCATTTTGTGTCATCAATCTCTTGTTGATGGAGAAAAGGTGTGGAACGAAGATAGAGATGAGGAAATTTTGTGCTTTCATATTCCAACTGAAGCGTGAAAGTAAACTATCCTTTTTGAAGGTAAGGCAAATGAATATAAAATCAAGATTCAGCTTCTAAATATGTCCACCGGACACTGTTGCAGCATTCTAGAGAAGTGAAGAGCAGATAAATAGACGTGGTTGTATTTGATTTTCAACCCACCCTTGAGTTATTTTTCTAGTTGCTCCATATTCCTTTCTAGATGCACCCTGACTAACTGTAGATGAGCTAGAGAGGGAGAAAGGTTCGTCATGGTGAATACTGATCTTGTAATTATGCTACAGAACGCCTTCCCATAGTCCGTTCTGTAGTTGGCCGATAGTTATGGTGGCGCAGTTGAGTCAACATGTGAAGTTGCATTAATAGAGTCCTTTCCATTCCAATTCTCAGGCAATCGAGCTCGAGTGGCCTAGGACACAGCTTGCCAAGGTATGTTTTTATAGGAGCAATTTTTGTTGAATTTGTTAAGATATTTGCAAGTGCCGAACAATTTCCTATTTTTTCGCACATTTTCATATGAATGGGCAGATACTGCCTGAGGTATATATAGAAAAAGGACTGTGTATTTGACGAGATTTTCAAGGAGGAACAGATGTTACCTAGGTATATAAAAAAGGTGTACCAAAGTGTATATAGCTCCTGTCATTGAGGTTAGGTTTAGGAAGGACTAGATGTACGCACTCTTACTTTACAAGTTGAGATTATTTTCATTACCTAAACCCGTGACCTTCAAGTTACAATGAAGGAGCACAAAATTTGGGAATTGGATAAATGTTATATGTACATATGTATATTATTATGGATAGAAAAAAATAAACATGTAAAAACAAAAAAAGCTTAAATAAACAATAATGGACCTAAAAAAATGATACCAAACGATGCAATCAGTTTTTAATAGGGTTGGGAAGGACACAATGATGGACAGTTGACATTGCTGTTACAAGCTCTGGAGAATCCATGCTTCTAACGGAAAAAATGTGCACTTTTTTTAACTGAACCTTTTTTTTTTTTTTATCTAATAAAAATTTGGTATGTGTAAAGTTTATTATTTTTTAATCAATGGGTTTAAATTATCAAAAATTAACTAATGTTTGACATCGAATTCCAACACGATACCAAATCGATATGGTAGTGTTGTGTCTATTGTTATATCTAAATCTATACTAGAGTAAAATTAAAAAAAATTTAATTTTTAATTTTTAATTTTATCCTTGTGTAATATTATTAAATCAATTATATACCTAGAATAAACTTAGCTTCTAATTCATTCTATCCTCCAAATCAAACTTTCCTTTAATGCTACATATGATAACCGTGTAGTGTTTGGCATTCTGTCAGTAGATGTACATCAATCATCAATTCATGATCACTATATGCATTAAACACATTAAGTAAATCAGTTTATAAAATAGAAATTGTGCCTCTTCATCTACTGCCGATGACTTCCCAAAAGCTTACCACTTTTCTCTTCCTCTTCATCTCTCTTTGTTATTTTTTTATTTCAAGTGTCTCTGACTCTACAACTTCGAGCTTTTGACCCATATCAAGGTTTTTTTAAAAAAAAATTCTCAATTAAGGGTTGATTTGAAAATAATTCTCAAACCCAAGAAATTTTAAAAACGTTAAATGGACTGATGTGTTTAGTTTAAAGGCGTCAAAAGGATTAACATTTTTATCCTAAAAATGTCAATCTATTTGACTTTTTTAAGTCAAGTCTCTGGCCCAGTAAATTCAAGAGACGTAAGACCATTATTGAAATGAGAAATTTAAGAGGTGTCAAACCATTTGACATCATCTAAATGGAAATCCAACCCCCTCCATTTATTTTAAACTACTAACGGCGNATAAATTCAAGAGACGTAAGACCATTATTGAAATGAGAAATTTAAGAGGTGTCAAACCATTTGACATCATCTAAATGGAAATCCAACCCCCTCCATTTATTTTAAACTTCTAACGGCAGCGCTCCACCTACACCAAGCACCAAATATAATTCTGAATACACAAATAAATTTTGGGTAATTATCGTAATTACTCCCTAAATTTTCTTTACGGTTTTAATTTAGTCCTTTAAATTTTAATTTTTTTTATTTTAATTTAATCATTCCATAATACCGTGATAGGTTTTTTGCCTTTTTTTTTTTCTAAGTAAAATGTTAAATGTTTATTTAACAATTAAATTTTGATAATTTAAAAATACATAAATTTCGATAATTTAGTTAAATGTTAAATGTTGATAATTTAGTTAAATGTTAAATGTTAAATTTTTATTTAATAAATTTTAATAATTTAAAAATACATAAGTTTTGATAATTTAAAAATACAAAATTTATTTATTTAATTTAATTTAATTTTTAAATAAATAACAAAAATTCAGCAAAATAGTTTTACGTATCATTTGTTAGGGAGAATAACATCAGTAGGACAAACGAAATTTATATATTTTTAAAATATCATAATTTTACTCAAAAAAAAAAGCCAAAAATCTATCACGGTATTATGGAATGATTTAATTGAAATAAAAAAAAATTAAAATTTTAAGGACTAAATTAAAACCCAAGAGAAAATTTAAGGGACAATTATGATAATTACCCAAAATTTATTTGTGTATTCATCGTTAGATTTGGTGCTTGGTGTAGGTGAAGCGCTGTCCCTAGAAGTTTAAAATAATCGGAGGGGGTTAGATTTTCAGTTTGATTTGACGCCGTTGAAATGGGAAATTCAAAAGGCATCATGGTTTGATGCCTCTTGAATTTCCCATTTCAATGGCGTCAAATGATTTGATGTCTCTTGAGTATACTAGACCACAGACTTGGCTTAAAAATATTAAATAGACTGACGTTTTTAAGATAAAAATATCAATCCATTTGACACTTTTAACCTAAACATGTCAGTTCATTTGACGTTTTTGAAACTCCNTACCAAACGATGCAATCAGTTTTTAATAGGGTTGGGAAGGACACAATGATGGACAGTAGACATTGCTGTTACAAGCTCTGGAGAATCCATGCTTCTAACGGAAAAAATGTGCACTTTTTTTTAACTGAACCTTGTTTTTTTTTATCTAATAAAAAATTGGTATGTGTAAAGTTTATTATTTTTTAATCAATGGGTTTAAATTATCAAAAATTAACTAATGTTTGACATCGAATTCCGACACGATACCAAATCGATATGGTAGTGTTGTGTCTATTGTTATATCTAAATCTATACTAGAGTAAAATTAAAAAAATTTTAATTTTTAATTCTTAATTTTATCCTTGTGTAATATTATTAAATCAATTATATCCCTAGAATGAACTTAGCTTCTAATTCATTCTATCCTCCAAGTCAAACTTTCCTTTAATGCTACATATGGTAACCGTGTAGTGTTTGGCATTCTGTCAGTAGATGTACATCAATCATCAATTCATGATCACTATATGCATTAAACACATTAAGTAAATCAGTTTATAAAATAGAAATTGTGCTTCTTCATCTACTGCCGATGACTTCCCAAAAGCTTACCACTTTTCTCTTCCTCTTCATCTCTCTTTGTTATTTTTTTATTTCAAGTCTCTGACTCTACAACTTCGAGCTTTTGACCCATATCAAGGCTTTTTAAAAAAAAATTCTCAATTAAGGGTTGGTTTGAAAATAATTCTCAAACCCAAGAAATTTTAAAAACGTTAAATGGACTGATGTGTTTAGTTTAAAGGCGTCGAAAGGATTAACATTTTTATCCTAAAAATGTCAATCTATTTGATGTTTTTAAGTCAAGTCTCTGGCCCAATAAACTCAAGAGACGTAAGACCATTATTGAAATGAGAAATTTAAGAGGTGTCAAACCATTTGACATCATCAAAATGGAAATCCAACCCCCTCCATTTATTTTAAACTTCTAACGGCAGCGCTCCACCTACACCAAGCACCAAATATAATTCTGAATACACAAATAAATTTTGGGTAATTATCGTAATTACTCCCTAAATTTTCTTTACGGTTTTAATTTAGTCCTTTAAATTTTAATTTTTTTTATTTTAATTTAATCATTTCATAATACCGTGATAGGTTTTTTGCCTTTTTTTTTCTAAGTAAAATGTTAAATGTTTATTTAACAATTAAATTTTGATAATTTAAAAATACATAAATTTCGATAATTCAGTTAAATGTTAAATGTTGATAATTTAGTTAAATGTTAAATGTTAAATGTTAAATTTTTATTTAATAAATTTTAATAATTTAAAAATACATAAGTTTTGATAATTTAAAAATACAAAATTTATTTATTTAATTTAATTTAATTTTTAAATAAATAACAAAAATTCAGCAAAATAGTTTTACGTATCATTTGTTAGGGAGAATAACATCAGTAGGACAACCGAAATTTATATATTTTTAAAATATCATAATTTTATTATTAAATAAATATTTAACATTTTACTCAAAAAAAAAAAAAGCAAAAAATCTATCACGGTATTATGGAATGATTTAATTGAAATAAAAAAATTAAAATTTTAAAGACTAAATTAAAACCCGAGAGAAAATTTAAGGGACAATTATGATAATTACCCAAAATTTATTTGTGTATTCATCATTAGATTTGGTGCTTGGTGTAGGTGAAGCGCTGTCCCTAGAAGTTTAAAATAATCGGAGGGGGTTGGATTTTCAGTTAGATGATTTCACGCCATTGAAATGAGAAATTCAAGAGGCATCAAACCATCCAATGGTTTGATGCCTCTTGAATTTCCCATTTCAATGGCGTCAAATGATTTGATGTCTCTTGAGTACACTGGACCACAGACTTGGCTTAAAAATATCAAATAGACTGAAGTTTTTAAGATAAAAATATCAGTCCATTTGACGCTTTTAAGCTAAACATGTCAGTTCATATGACGTTTTTGAAACTCTTTGGATTTGGGAATTAAAAAAACCTTGATACGGGTCAAAAGCTCCTACAACTTCATTAAATTAATGTCTAAAGCTGTTATGAATGTATCAATTGTCAATTGGAATTTGATGTCTACCAAGTTCTTTAACTTCATATGCTTCTGTTCTCGCTCTCAGTCTCTTACAAACAGTTTGTGTGCATAATCAGGGGTATTGCTGCTTCACCGGGTAAGGATTGAACAACAATCATTATTTTTTTTTTCAAAGTAATCTATCAATCATAGATTTTGTTTGGTGCTATTAGTGCCGTAATTTTTCTTTAGTGATCTTTTTTTTAATGTCACTAATGTTGTTTTAATTGTTTCAATCTTTTTTTCATCATGCAATAACGAAACCAAGCAATTACATAATTGTTCTTGCTGTCATATGACAAATTAAAGACCAATGTTTTTATATTATAATGAAACCAAACATTTATGTATACGATTCAAGCAATTGTAAAAAATTACGGTACTGTTGTATTGTCCCAAATTGATTGAAAAAAAATTTAGCAATGGCTGAAGTAGTGTGATGTCATTTGTTAATTCTAAAAATTCAATTATAAGTTTTTCTATTTGGTCTGAAATTTTCTGTTGGTTTGTTTAATATATATTATTTATTATTAACATATATGAAGTATATGCTTGTCAATTAGTTGTTGCCTAGGCCTTTTATATTAACTTTGTAAATGTCAATATTTTTCACTTGCAGGATCAAACCAAGCTCATCAATCATATTTAATCTTAGATTAGCCACACCTGAACTCAAAATTGATGTTGATGTTGATGTTTTTGCGATTCTT